GATTTTTCGAGACAGGGTTCTCCATAGCTTTTTTGGTTCCTATCCTGGAACTAGCTCTCTAGACCAGGCTGGCCTCGAACTCACAGAGATCCACCTGCCTCTGCCTCCCGAGTGCTGGGATTAAAGGCGTGCGCCACCACTGCCCGGCTCTCCTCTTGCTTTCTTCCAGTGCTGTGTCCCCACCCCAGTGCCACCACTCTGCAATCTTGAGGTCCGGGGGGATTTTCTGTGACAGATATGATTTTCCTCTTGCAGCAAGATGCCCTCAACAATAGCTGTTCTTTCTGTACTTTCTATTCTCATACAAGCTATACACTCATACCTAAGACCCCAAGCCCCCAAACCTGCTGTCGGTCTCCCAGGGCACCCTGTGTGGCAGTGGCCCAATGACTTCAGACAAGATAACCAGCCTAACAAATGCCAGGATACACCCAGATGGCCTGGGTCCCCAGGCACCTTCTTGTCTTTTATTTATTTATTTTTCTAATGTGCATTGGTGTTTGGCCTGCATGTATGTCTGTGTGAGGGAGCCAGATCCACTGGAACTTGAGTTACAGACAGTCATGAACTGTCACGTGGGTGCCGGGAACTGAACCCTAATCTTCTGGAAAAAGAAGCCACTGCTCTTTGAGGTGTCTCTCCAGTCCACAGTTTCTGCTGCTAATGTAGGCCAATAAGATAGACAAGGATGGTGAGGAGCAGGATCCAGTGGATCTTGGGACAGTGTGTTTCTTCAGAGGACAATTTACCCCTTGTCATACAAATCCAACCGGAGGATGCATGAAGGCCAGGAAAATAAGACCCTCCCGGAATCCTGGCCTGGGAGGCAGTTGGTTGTGCAAGTAGGCATAGTGGCCACCCTCTGAATGGGGTAGCCCTGGCAGGCAGGGGAGAGAGTGCTTTGGGGCCTAGTGACAAAGGAATACAGTTGTGTCCTCCCCACCCGAAAGCCATGCTAGAAGCCAAGCCGTTTTGTAGACTGGGAGGTGGCCTTCCCACGGCTCCCACTGTAGACCCAGCTCTGCTCAGTTCCCTTCCCAGGCCCGGCTGGCTAGGCCACGCCTGCTCCCCAGAGCCGCCTCAGAAGGCTTCCAAGCAGGCATGCCATCATAGGATACAGGCCCAGGACAAGCATAGCTCAGCACTTTCTCCCAGAGAGGACTCCGAGGCTCAGCGAGAACGTGAGTGTTCTTAAAGTAGGAAGGATGGGGTGTTGGCAACGCTCTTGGAGCTGCAGGGGAAGAGCGCAGCCTCTCAGAGCATAAGGCACCTGCGCAGAACTTACGGCGTAAACATTTCGATGTCCACCTGCAGGAAGCCCGCCATCAGGAGCACGACCAGCACCAGGAAGAAGAGTGCCACATGGAAGGACCTGTGGGCAGTAGCAGCTCAGTGTCGCTTGGATACGCAGCCCCACCCACTGCTCCACAAGGAACCCTGTAACAACCCGCAAGCCCCGAGCAGGGTACCCAGGCATGCACATCTCTGATCACCTAGGGCTTGGGGGCTTCTCGGGCCCCCCAGGTCCTTGAGCTGCAAATGGGTGATTGCAGGGTAGATGTATGGACTGGGCCCCAGGCTAAGGCCCCAGCCCCCAATAGGAAAGCAGTTTTAGTACCCTTTTAAGAACACTCATGGGAACATCGGAATTGGTGTCCTGATGAGAAGACAGGCACAGAGCTTGCCTCCTCTCCCCAACCCAACCCTATCCTGTGAGGACAAAAAGAGGTGCTGTCTTCAAGCCCAGGAAACACACACACACACACACACACACACACATTTCCTTCTCAAGGTCTCTAGCTTCCAAAGCACCAGAAGGACTGTTCTTGCTTAAGCCTCCCTGCGTAGGGAGAAGCTACATCAGGCAGCTGGCTGGCAAGGGGACACCTTGAGACAGAGAGGGAGTGTGCTGGCATTCCACCCTCTAAAGCGGAAGTAGAAGCTGGAGGAAGCCGCTGATTGTGCCTCAAGCCAAGTCACGGTGAAAAGCTTACTCAGGTGCCAGAGCTGCCTGGAGGGCAGGCCTCTGCTGGGTCCTAATTCTTAGGCGCTGTCAACCCAGGACACAGAGCTACTGCTTGAAGCACAGCCACCCTAGCCCAGGACATCCCTGGACATGCAGTAGAGTATTAGAAAACCATGTCTTCCTATCCTTGGAGATCTTGGTTTGGGGTTGTTTCTAGGATGTGTATTCACCTCTCAATGTCTGGGTCTGGTTTTCTAGTGAGCACACTGACTCTCTGTGTTTGCTCTGTGAGGAGGCACCTGCTCCCCAGGTTCCCAAGCATCCCACTGGCTCCTCCTTTTCCTAGAAACAGGATCGTGATGGGATTTTTGCACTCTCTGACAAGCTCTGGTAGGACACATGGACAGTTACCCGGAGCGTGTGGCGCTCTCCTGAGATGGCTGTGCCTCATACACCACATGACATAAAACAGATGGCGCCCACAGTCTAAGTGGGCAACAGATGGAGTGGGTTAGGATTCCAGTTCTCCGAGAGCTGTATCTAGTACCTGCCTGGGCGTGGTCCCTGAGCTTTGTTGATGACTATATGACTCTCAGATGCTCAGTCTAAAAGGCTATACGATGTACTCGGTCACCGTTCCCAGGGGGACCCTGCCTGATGACCTCTCTGCCATGCATTCTTAGAGAGCAGACCCATGGTAGCTGGCAGGGAGGAACCCTGGAACATCACCCACTCCTCAGCTCTATGTGAAAACCCACTAATACCCTGTGGCTTGAGGTTCAGCTGTAGATCCTAATTTTTAGGTGTTTTGAAGAGGAGGAGGAAGTTAAGTTTTAAGGGCCAGGTTAGTCTGGGACTTCCCCTGAAACCCTGAGGCGTGGGAAAGAGTCATTGTCTAAACATACTTGTAAAGGTCAGTAATGACCTGAGGTCAGGACCTTGCCGGGAGCTGTAGCTTCAGATCCTGAGAACTTAATTTTTCTCCTCCTAAAAGGGCTATGGTTACCAGTCTCAGTGCCACTGAGCGTGGATCTGTTACATTTGTTTAAGCTGTGGAACATTTGTTTGATGATACAAAGGCGTGTTGCCTTCTTTTATGTTGTATTTGTTTAACTCTGTGATGCTCTGTTACTGTGCCTGTCTAAAACATCTGATGGTCTAATAAAGAGATGAACAGTCAATAATGAGGCAGGAGAAAGGATAGGTGAGGCTGGCAGACAGAATAAATAGAGGGGGAGTGGGAGTGGTCAAGGTTTGAGAAAAGAAGGGGCCGGCCACTCAGCCAGACATAGACTAAGAGTGCAAGTAAGATATACAGAAAGAAAGAAAGAGAGAGAGAGAGAGAGAGAGAGAGAGAGAGAGAGAGAGAGAGAAAGCCCCAAGGTAAAAGGTAGATGAGATTATTTAAGTTAAGGAAAGCTGGCTAGATATTGACTTCATGAAGCCCAGTGTAACTTCCTAAGCCTAACTTGAATTTGGTGAGGCCCAGTTTAACTTCCTGAGCCTAACTCAGCACAGTCTGACCTAGGCCCACCTCTGCCCAGCCACCGCTGAAGTGGAAGGATATTATTGGCCCTTATACCTCACTCCACCTCACCCCATCCCAAGACTCCAGCCCACTACCTCAGCCTTATATAAGTTCCTGCCCTGATGCAATAAAGTTTAAAATCCTGCTTCGACAGACTCCTGGGCTCAGTGTGTGTTTCTCCTCGGTGGCCAGGGGGGAGGTCTGGGTTGTTTGACACTCACCATCTCGCTCAGCCCCAGGGAAAGACCGGCAGGACTAGCTCTGCCTCAGCCCTAGCTGCTGGAGAAGCCGGCAGCTAGAAACAAGCCAAGCCAAGGCCAGGCATTTATAAGTAATGATAAGCCTCGTGTGTGTTAATTTGGGAGGTGGGTGGCAGGCCCCCAAAGAGCAAAGAGTAAAAAAAAAAATCGACAACAACTTGGTGTACTTGAGATACCCTATGTTCCCTTTGTACAACATTGCTGATATCTTCTTGCTGGTGTTATCCTGTGGTACGATAGCCTTTTGCTGACTCTGTCCAATTTCCCCCTTCAAACAACATGTAAGAGGCTATACTTCTTAATAAACTTGCTTGTCATTATCCATCAGGTTATGGAAGATCTTGTGCTTCCAGCTTTCCTGCCTTCTTTATTTTCTCGTTCCCAGGCATTCCCCGGGTCACCGAAGAATGACCGGTCCAGGCTGAGTTTGCACACATGGCAGGACCTAGCGAGGTCATACATTTCACAGGCCAGAAAGGAACTGTTGGCATGGATGTGAAGAACCAGGGCTTTAGTGCTTCAGGTGTTGCCTACCTGACCAGGGAGGTGGTAGGTCTCATCCCCCAGGACATAGTTCCTCTAATCATATTGTCAACATGAATCTCCTCTGTCTTACGTTTCTCTTACATCTAGTTAGATTTGCTAGCTCTTGCTGCCATTGTAGACAAAGCACTTACCCAGGTTCCCCTTCTAAGGGCTCACTGCTTGAGCTGCCTGGGTACCAGCTGTTCTCTGATCTCTTCCTACCAGGACATTTAAGACCGTAGCAGTGGGAACAGATGGCACACATCCTTGCGGGCTCCAATTGGAGGCTTTAGGCTGTGTATCTTTTCTGGGGTATGTACAATAGTGGCCCCTGCTGTATATGTCCCGGGTTGATGTGTCACAGTGGCCAAAGCTCGAAACGGGTGTGGAAAGGCAGTTGGGAAGCTTCTTCCTGGTACTCTGAGACAAGTAAGTGTTCCCCACCCCACCCCACCTCACTGTACCTGCTAGAATTCGGGCATCTGTCCTGGCCTGTCCTAGGGATCGTGACAGGATACGTCCTCATCTGCAGCCACTAAGAGCATCTCCTGTGCACATTCACTACGTTCCCTTTAAAAGGTGGGCCTTGCCCACCTTGTCTCTCTCTCTCTCTCTCTCTCTCTCTCTCTCTCTCTCTCTCTCTCTCTTTCTCTCTCTCTCTCAACAGTACCCACTGCCATAAGCCTCTGTCTCCCAGGTGAGTCCTTCTGTGTCCTAGCTGCATACGGGGATGCAAGATCATCCGGGTTGCAGTTAAAAGGCTTTTGTTGAAATATCTATCCTGCCTGCTATTGACTGCCTTTCTCTGGTCTTTATCAGCTTCTTCGCCAACCTACCAAGCTCATCTTCAACTTTCCTATTCCAGGCCTAGAGTCAACCATATCTCTTCAAGGAGCACTGGGCATGTCTGGCAGGAAATAGTCCTTAGGAATCATAGTCTGAGGGCTAAGGATGCTTGTGGCTCCAAGAGGGCCAGATCTTCCAGGTCTTCTGCATAGATAAAGCTGGGGCTCCACATACGACAGAAACCCTCCTGAGGCTACACCTACATGTCTGATTCAAGGACTCTAGCCATTAACTGAGCTTCTTCCAGTCAAAATTATTTGTCTCCTGTCTTCCACACCCTCAGTGGGGCTCCCAAAGACACAAGCCATGATAAATGTGGGCATTCCATGATGACATTATCTACTCTACCTGTACTGAAGAGCACAAAAACCCCCTTAGGACCCCAGGGCAGCCCCACTACCCAATGCCCACATCACTGTGCTATTCAAAGCTCTACCCTAGCCAGGATGGGACATGTCACCTCTTCTGGGTATCAGCCATGTCTCCAACACTCCCAGGAAGTCTGTATAGACAAAGAGCTTAGGAGCTAATCTGAGGAGGAAACTAGACAGATATCACAACCACACTGGGCCAAAATTGGCCAAATGTCCTCAATTTTGGGGTCCTCTTTCTGCCAGATGAGCAGGGTTGACACCGAGACAGAGGGAAAACAGAAAGGAGCAATGAGGCTGTGGAGTCTCTAATGAAGATTCCTCATGAGTTAGAGGGTCTTCCCAAGCCCAGCGTAGGCACCACCTCAAGTTAAAAGCTTTTGAGTCATTGTGGTTACCACTCCCTGAGGAGTTGGCTGCATGGTAGTGAACCGTTTACAGCCTTATATAGTTAGGGTATAATAAGAGTATGTTATATGGGTATATAACGTTATATAGTGACAGTATGACTTCCACTTGATAAGAACGGTGAGGAACCCAGCCAGATAACAATAGCTCACCTTCTGTTCTCCCCCAGCCATCACTTTGGTCCTCCACGTAAAAATCCTTCCTCAAACATGCTGCCTTTCACTGGCCTCCTCTCGGATTCATAAACTTTCAGAGCCCACTAACCATCTGTCTTGGAGTTTGCTAGGAATGCACCTTTACAGGGACAGTCCACAGTCCAGGGCTCCCAAATCACAAGCTGAAGAGGGCTCCAAGCCTACCACCTGCTCCTGCCTCAACACAGCTCATAACCCTTCACACGCCCTCCCTGCCTGAGCTGGGGGCCCACACAAGTTATAGTGTAAGACCTGAGACCCAGCCTGGTCCTCTACATGAGGACAAATAGGAACTTCGGTGTTTTAAAATAAATCTTGATTTTTGTGTGCAGAAAGCAAAAGGAACTCTTTCCTTCTTTCTCAGAGCATTGACTTAAACTTACCACTGTGAGCAGAGCACACCTTTAAATCCCAGCACTCAGAAGGCAGAGGCAGGCAGATATCTGAGTTCGAGGCCAGCCTGGTCTACAGCGTGAGTGCCAGGACAGCCAGGGTTACACAGAGAAACCCTGTATCAACAAAGAAACAAACAGAACACTTCTGCACCGTGAATTCTCCTGCCCTCAAGATAGATGTACGCATGTCTAAAACCTTTGCAAGCCTTCTGCCAGCTTCACAGACCATCACTGTTTTACCAGGACTTCTCTCTGAATAGATCCATGACATAAGATCATCTGGTGCCTGGCTCCAGGTCACAAACCAGCTTCCAGCTGCAATGACAGGAGACATTTCTTTTTCCTTTAAACTTTTCACTACATTTAGGTATTTATTGTACATATGTATGCATGCACGCTGTGTCATGCAAGTGAGGGTCAGGGGACACTCTGCATGAGTCATTTCTTATCTTCCACCATGCAGGTTCTAGGAACTAAGCATGCATATGACTGGGTATGGTGATGCACACACCTTTAATCCCAGCACATGAGAGGCAGAGGCAGGTGAATCTGGAGGCTAGCCTGGTCTACAAAGCAAGTTCCAGGACAGTCAGGACTGTTACATAGAGAAACCCTGTCTTAAAATCTGCAACCCCCCAAAAAGAACATGGATATGAGGGGGCATATTTCCCATGACTCCCACACATCCCTACCTGGACACCATCTTCCACCCCCAGACAACCCCAGGCCTTTGTCTATTCTACCCTTAGATGGAGGACAGAACCTAAGGTTTTTGCCTAGAACCTGGTCCCCCAGGTATCCTCTCAAGTCCTCCAACTCCACTTCTTCCACTACCTGAGTGTCTCAATCAGCTCTTCGAATCAAGAGGTCTCCACCAAGATGGCCTACTAGACATGGTCGCAGGTGCCAGTGTAAAAGAATCTTGTGATCCAGTTGCCCCAACTATCAAAGAAGGTACAGAGCCCATTTGAACATCAAAGATGTCACCTTATCTGCTGCTAAATCACCCAAGCCAAGCTTGGGTAATTTTAACAAATAGGACCAGTGTAAATGGAGACCACACTTTTGTTTCCCGGCCACCCACACCAGAATAATCACACAAAAACTTCATTAATTACAATACTGTTTGGCCAATGTCTCAGGCATATTCCTACTTAGCTCTCACATCTTAAATTAACCCATTTCTATTATTTTATATTTTACCATGAGGCTCATGGTTTGTTACCTCACATCTTGCTTCTTGGGCAACTACATGACATCTGTCTGACTCTGCCTTCTTTCTTCTTACATTCAGTTTAGTTTTCCCACCTAGCTATAGTCTGCCCTGCCATAGGCCAAAGCAGCTTCTTTGTTAACCAATAGTAATAAAATATATTCATATCATACAGGGGGACTCTCACATCAAAACAAAGGAGGTTTGCTGCCTGGAGAAAACAGTCTCCAGAATGTTCTACTTCCCTTCTCCAGTGGAATATTCCAATTCCCTTTCCCAGTGTGGCTGTCAGGCTCTGGTGAGCTGCCAGGACAAACAACACTTTACGGGGAATGACTCAAATTATCAAATCTTTTTACCCAAGCACCTGGTCCCACCATCCTTCCCCAACCTTTACTGGAAAGAAAGGCTGTGAAAGTCTAAGGCCACAACTCTCATAGATCCCAACATGATTCAGCGAGAAACAGTAGTCACGGCATCTTCCTGCAGAGCCCAGAGAACAGGGGTGGACTAGCTCCTGCTGGTGGCTGAGCCCTGTGCAACAAGGGTTACTCCCAGAAGTGGCAAACACTCTGTGGTCCTGGGAGTATTAGAAAACTTGTACAGTTCTTCCAATCTGGCCCACCTAGATGCTCTAGTGGTAAACCCTGCCCAGTCTGAGACACCTAGGCAGAGAGGCAAGAAGCAAAGCTACTTGTAAGGATGTGTGCACCACACCCCTTCCCAGATGCCAGACCTCTGCTCTTCTCAACTGTGGCACCTCTGACTCACCCTCAACCTATCCAGTACAGGCCTTGGAGACAAACTATCTGCCTCAGAGCCATCTGTCATGCTACTCAATGGGTAACCTGACTTCTACCCACCAGTATAGGAGGTGAGATCAGTCTAGGACCCCCTGGAGACCCACAGCATGCATCACTTGCTAGTGATAGAGAAAGGTGGGCATCCCTGGACCAGAGAGTTTCGGGTGCCACACACAGAAACCTTCTAAACAGTAGACAGGTAGATCTGTGGACAATAGGAACAGCCTCTGAAATCTGCTTCCTTTCAGTTTCTTGATCCACAAATGACATGGAAACTCCAAGGACTATCCTTCCTACTGTAATGGGCCTTGGACTTTCAACAGGTCAGGGTGCCTTGTCCTCTCTTAAGATTGGAGGGGGATGGAGGGAGGGTGTGTAGAGGGAGTGGGAAGGGAGGGGAAGGAGAGGAGGAAGTGGGAATTTGGATTGGTATTTTTTTAAGTAATAAAAAAATTTTAAAAAAAGAAGTTAGAGCTCATGGGCCAAGCAGTGCTTTAATTAATATTACCACCCTCTCCTCCATGTCTCCCCTACCTCCCACACCTGACTGCATCTTGGCAGAGGCGTCATTTAGCTCTCAGCCAGCCAGGTTCTAAGGATGCAGGTCTACAATACGGTCAGGTGGCCTCCACAAACAAAACCATATACCACCTACTTGGGAACTAGCCATTAGTCTCCAGGGCCTGTTTGCATCACAACGCAAGCTTTTCTACGGTTCCTGGAAAGGACACTCTAAACTGTTGAGCTGCCTGCAGGCTGTATGGTTGTGCTGCAGGGTCCCAGCTTTGTGAGCTGTCACCTGTGCTGAGGTAGGCTTTGGTGAGGCAGCTGTGTTTGGGTCACTTCTGCTCCTGTAAATAAACTCTCCCATATTCCCGTAATAAATTCCTGTAACTCCAATACAACTTATTGGTTCACCAAGCTGGACTTTGGTGGTATCTGTCATAGGCTCCCTATCTGGGGTGAGGAGATAGGTATGTCGTGTCTCCCCAGGAAAGGTTTGTCACACCACAGACATATGACACCACACTCAGCCTCAGTTCTCACCTCACCCACATGTGGCCACATGTGGCAGACTGTACCCAAATGCCCTTACTTTACCCACTACTCTTCAAAGCCAGCTTCCAAACTGGGATCCAATAGCTGGTCTCAAGTGACAGCTGATCAGAAGGACACATAGACTCCATGGCCACATCACACACACACACACACACACACACACACACACACACACACACGGAGATACATACTATCCACAAGGTCACACAGATCCCCATGGGCAGCTCTGTCCCTGAAGGAGACTTCCCCTGGGTTCAACACTCTAGGAGCACAGGTTTTCAGAAGGCCTTCCACCATCAGACTCGGGTCCCTAGAGGCAACAGGAACCTGGAATCCCCTAAGCTAAGGGTTGCCCTGAAGTTACAGAGGTTTGTGCCTTACCCCTCACTAACTAGGAAACGGCGGAGCCTATTCTTTACAATATGCCAGCAATATCCATGAGAAGGGGGGGGGGTTTACATGATTCAGAGCAGAGGCCAACTCTCTCTCTACAGCTGTGAATCAGGGCTCTATACCAGGGGCTCATAGCCCAGACATTCTTACAAAAACCAGGGAGGGACCCAGCCATAGGGCAGGACAGAAGTCACTTAACCAAGCTAATAATAAGTCCCTGACCCCAGTGCCTTCCCACCAAAATCTCCAGCCCAAATAATCCAGGTAAACTGCTTGATATCTCTGTGCTCAGAGTGTGGCTTTCTCATGCAGGGGCTTCCCAAACTACAAAAAACGCTCTCCTGTCCAAAGTGAAACTGGGCCTGGGGTATATTGCTATGGTTGAGGGCTTGCTTCAACCACAAGCTGAAGGTGAAATCCCTGGGTTTAATCCTCAGTATCAGAAAAATTAAAAAAAAAAAAAGTTGACAGGAAATCTAAAAAGATTGATTTCAAGAAGGTGTCTGCACTGATTGCCCCAAATCCAAGCCAACTTCCTTTCAAAGACAGAAAACCGTCAACATATTTTGTCAGCTTCTTGAACTATTCTAGAAGGAAAGCAAGTGCCCCCCCACGCTGACCACCTAAAGCCATACCACCTTACCTCTGTGTGCCTCCCAGGACGGACAGCATCCTGACTCAGAGCCTCCAACAGAGATGGGCAGGGAAGTAGTGGTCAAGACCTCCCACTGCCTTGAGTATGAGACAGCCCTCTCTCAGCATGCCAGGTAGGACACAACTTCAGGGAAAACTGAACTTAAATCCCTAAGAAGCTCACCCGCTGGCTCAGGTGCCACCCCAGGCCCCACCCTCTACTCCCCACCCCCACCCCAGTGACCTGGCTTAACTGCTGTAACCTAAAGAGGAATCGGACTTCCCTTAAATTCAGAAGGGAATGCTGGCCCCTCCCTCACTAGGTTTCCTCCTCCTTCTCCTCTTCCTCCTCCTCCTCCTCCTCCTCCTCCTCCTCCTCCTCCTCCTCCTCCTCCTCCTCCTCCTCCTCCTCCTTCTCCTCCTGTATCATTAGGTGGGGCCCTGGCAGCTGGGATGTCTGTCTGACCCAGGAAGATTTCCCTGTTCAGACTCATGTTTTCTCCTTCTTCACCTCCATGTTAATCCTCCCAGAGCAGTCTAGGAGGGAGCTGCCCCAGTGGTGGTGGTGGACTTTTGGGGGTGTCTAGACACACATTCCCTAATTGTTGTGGGTAATAGAGATCTGGGAATGGGCCAATCGTTCTGCAGATGTGTGATCAAACTCCAGTAATATTTTCTTCTTCAAAGCTCTCTTTATACTAAAAGGAAAAGAAAACTTTTTTTTTTTTTTTTATAAGGGTTTCGCTGTAGTTTTAGAGCCTGCCCTAGAACTAGCTCTTGTAGATCAGGCTGGCCTCGAACTCACAGAGATCCGCCTGCCTCTGCCTCCCGAGTGCTGGGATTAAAGGCATGCACCACCACCACCTGGCGATTTTTTTTTTCTTAATCTTGGGGTAAAAAGGAACCTTTGAAAGAGGACAGTGATGTAGAAAATGAATACATTTTAGTCCCAGCACTCAAGAGGCACAGACAGTTCCTGCATGGTGGCCTTTAATCCAAGCACTGGGGGAGACAGAGATAGGCATATCTACGTGAGTTCAAGGTCAGGCAGGGGTATATACATAGTGAGATTATATCTCAGAATTACTTACTTAGTTAATGAAAATTCTGAGAAATTATCTTACTTAATTGTAAGAGGTAAATCCAAGTCAGGCAGTGGTGATACATGCCTTTGATCCCAGCACTCGGGAGACAGAGGCAAGAGGATCTCTGTGAGTTCAAGACCAGCCTAGTCTACTGAGGGAGTTCCAGGTCAGGGCTATACAGAGAAACCCTGTCTGAAAACAAACAAACAACAACAAAAGAGATAAGCATCCTATACAAGCTGACAAAATGATGACAGCTCCCCACTAGTCATCCATGGCTAGCTCTGGTCCTTGACCTATGAGAAAACCTTGAAAACTGCCCTTCTCATGTGCCTTTAGACATCAGAACACTGGACACCCTGCATCCTGCACAGATGACTATACACCAGGGTAGGATGGATGCTCAGAAGAAGACAATACCTTGGGACCTTTCACCACCCAGAAGGCCAGAAGAACACAAGCTCCAGAGATACTGTCTTAGTTACCGTTCCATTGCTGTGAAGAGACACCATGGTGAAGGCAACTTATAAAAGGAAACATTTAATGGGGGGGCTTGCTCAGAGTTTCAGAGGGTTAGTCCATGATCATCATGGCAGGGAGCATGACTGCAGGCAGGTAGGCACGGTGCTGGAGTATAAACTGTGAGCTTACATCTGATTCACAAGATGGAGGCAGAGAGAGGGAGGAAGAGAGGGAGGAAAAAGGAGGGAGGGAGGAAGAAGAATTGAGGGGAGGGAAGGAGACACTGGGCCTGGTATTGGCTTTTAAACCTCAAAGTCCACCCTGAGTGGCATACCTCCTCCAACAAGGCCACACCCACTAACCTTTACCAAATAGTTCCACCAACTGATGACCAAGCATTTAAATATATGAGCCTATGGTAGTTCTCATTCAGACCACCATACATGCTTGTGAAGATTCAGAGAGATCAGAGAGAGGCAGCTGTTAGCCCCTACCACTGAGGGTCTTGCCTTCAGCATAGCAGCTCCTATTCAGTTTACCAGTGTGTTCAGTTGCTAATAAGGGCTAGGGTTTGAGACAACAAAATTGTGTTGTCTCATGAAGCAGCGGCTGGGGCATCTTGGCTGAGAAACTGAAGTGTAGATATGGTGATTTGAGTAGGAATGACCCCCACAGGCTCATATGTCTGAACGTTTGGTCATCAGGGAGTAGTGCTACTTGACAGGAATTAGAAGGCATGACCTTGTTGGAGGAAGTATGTCACTGGGGCTGTGCTCTGGGGTCTAAACACTCAAGCCAGGCCCAGTGTCATTCTCTCTTCCTGCTGCCTGCCAATCGAATGTAGAACTAACTCTCAGCTACCACTCCAGCACCGTAGCTGCCCTGATTCCCACCATAACAGTAATGGACTAAACCTCTGAAACTGTAAGCCAGTCCCAATTACTGTTTTCCTTTATAAGAGTTGCTGTGGTCACCGTGTCTCTTCACAGCAACAGAACACAGGCTAAGCGATAAAGAAGAGATGTCACCACCAATGAGGGCAACACGTGAGCTGGCAAGATGGAGCCCAGACAGACGAGACAAAATATCACCTTAGTGATGGACAGACAACTGCAGCAGAAGGGAGTTGACTTTCAGACCATTCCCAACTAGAATGGACAGCAAATAAGTAGCCATATTGACAATCTGGAGAAAACATCACAGAACCTTATGACCCAGGCTGGGAGAGAACTCGAAGGCACAAACAAGATCCCCGCCACACAGAAGAGTGACACCTGCCACTGATCCACGCTGATACCTAGCACATTGTCTTCTCGAGCCAAGGGAAAAACAAATGGCTTCATTTATCTAAGTCCTATAAATAATTATAACTTATAAAGAATTGTAACTAACTATAATTATTTATAGTAGTTACTTATTGTTCTGTTTTGTTTCTTGAGGCAGGGTTTCTCTGTGTAGTCCTGGAACTCACTCCCTTTGTATACCAGGCTGGCCTTGAACTCAGAGATCCAGCCGCCTCTGCCTCCTGAGTGCTGGGAGCAACAGTAGCAACAGTAGCACCCAGACAGGGACTTAAAGGTCCAAAGGTTTCACAAAGCATGTCTTCTTCTCACGGCTTACACAGTTCGTTTATAAAGTCAGTTCATCCCCTTCCCCTCCCAGCTTTTCAGACTTAAGTGTTTTCACGTCCTGATAAGTTATCTCCTAATTATTAAATGCTGAATTTTAGGTAGTTCCTGAAAGGAGAAGAAAAAAAAAAAAAAGCGGAGCCCTCATCAGAGTCCTTTAACAACCTTCTCCACCGGGGCCAAGAGCTAGACAGAATTCTCTAAGGCCAGTACACATCCCAGAGCTTAAAGTACAAGGGTCTGGCAATTAGCTCTCCAAACTAACGGCAGGTGAGTCTACACATGCGTGGTACTGGCTGCACCAGGCTGTTCTCTGCCCCACACCTCACCTCCCCCACATTCCACTCTGGAAATGGTAAGGGTTGCTCCACCTTAGGAGAGGAGCTCACGGATCCTCCCATCCAGGCTACACAGGAATTAATCAGAGACATAATGGATTGTATAGTGAACCACATGCACCCCTAAAACATCTCAGATACTTTAGCTGCTCTACAGTGACAGACAGTGGCCCAGAAGGCAGAAAACTGTCCAGGACACATGTAATCAGGTCCTCAAATTAACACCCTTCTTCAAGGCTGGGGTCCCAGTTTTCTGGATTCTCACTGACTTACAGGGGCTGAGCAGGAGCAAGTGGCCATCTACCTTCATGCCCCTGAGAAAAGACAGAACATTGTGACATAGTATGGAGCCGTGACCCCTAGCCCCAGGTTCCTCCAGAATCTGGAGGGGATGGCCAGTCACACAGAAGGCGCAGTCTCCTGTGACCAAGAGGCTCTACTGAGACAGAGTCTGTGGCCTCTAGCCCTTCTTTAAAGTCTCAAAGGCTCAGGGATATGGCAGCTTAGAGCAACAAAAATTAGTGTGTCTGGTGGAGCATGACCTGACCCAGAAGACAAAGGAATCTACAACTGGCCTTGCTGGCCCATGAGACGCATTGTATGAGACAGCTCCATCTCCCTGGGGTTCTGCCTCCCCGCAGCCAGACCCACAGCTAGCGTGGGAAGAGTGCCACCCAAGGCTGGTCAAGCCCATTAGTTTGCCTGTCTAGTTGGTGCCGCTTGGCCATCTGGCATCGAGCCCGGTTCTGCCTGACGTGCCGGAGAACAAAGGATCAATTCTTCACATCCCAGGCTAGGGTTGGAGGACAAAGAGTCTACCTGTCAAACAGAAGGCAAGAGCAGCCATTGGCCAGGCCAGTGGGACCTGCAGTTGGGAGGGCTTGGGCCCAGCAGCTCCTCCAGTGCATGGTTTAGTGAAAATCAATAGGAGGATCCATCTGGCTGCCCCTGGCTTTCCACTTTTCCAGAGCCAGAGGCAAATCTTCATGTGTTACCTGAAATGCGTCCTGATCCCCGTACTCCATCTCCCCCACCGTCCCAAAGACCCCAGGGCCACATAACCAAATACACTGCCTATAAACTAAGGCAGTGTCTGGCAGTCACACATTCTATAAAGAGAACTCCAACGTCCAAGGCTACTGTCCCAAGGAACACCTGTTTATAGTCCTACTGAATGAGGGCCAACAGGGAAAGACGGCTGCAGTCCCCGTAGAAAAGGGCAAGCCAGGATCCAGGGAGACCAACCGTCATCTGGCCCACGTGCACCAGGTCAGACCAGGCTCCCAGCACAGGTCACATTCAGGCCTCAGCCAAGCGTTTGTCAAGTCTAACTTATCCACTGTCCTTCTTTTCTACTACCCTGCCTGCCATGTGCTGTTCTAGAACCTAACAGTTAGTCTTGTACTTATTGGGTAATAGCCTCTGATCATGAATTGAGGTTTGTTGTACTGGCCACTAGCCCCTAACCATAAAGATGCAGCCCCCGTCTGACAATACCACGCTGCTCAGGTATCCAAAACAAACCACCCTGGGGGCTGGAGAGATGGCTCAGTGGTTAAGAGCACTTGGCAACCCTCCCAGAGATTCTGAGTTCAATTCCCAACAGCAACATGGTGGCTCACAACCATCTATAATGGGGTCAGATTCCTTCTGGTGTACATGAAGATAGAGCACTCAATACATAAAATA